AGAAACGCAATTTTAGATGAAAAGCCACATCAGCAGTGAAAGTGGTTCATTCGTATCCAATGTACACTCAATAGCCCTGACCGCCATGCACAACCCCGAGGCGACTCCCAAGATTCTTCCTGTGTATACTACACTTCATTCTACGTATCGCAAACGATGTTGGCACGGATCGGAAATCCCGCGGTCTCGTACAACAGTTCGTCATCTAAACGTATCGCGATTTCTCACGGCACTTGTCGAAATCGCCACCGCAGTCCTTGCACTATTCCCATCAAGTCAGTATCGTTCACTCCACCTCAACTGCAGCAAGACAAGAAGACTTACCTCATGGCCCTGGTAGCGGTACACGTGGCACACATGCTCAACGCAGGTCTGTTTGCAACCCTTCTGTCCCTCAGTGTGGCCGTTCTGCAGCCTCGTCAGTGTGGATCGCATGAAGATTTCCTACCTGGCCTATCGCTTACCTTGAGGCAAAACTCGTAGCGCTCCAAGCAAAAGTCGCAGTTGGCGTCGCGTGTGATGAGCGTGGTGCCGTCGTCTGCGGTAGATGCGGCGGAGACTATGCTGGCGGCGAGCGCGATGAGGGTAGCGAAGGTCTTCATATTGCTCCGATATCTGGTAGTGTGGCGAGTGCTTACGAGGGGTCCAAATGAGCGTAGATTGAGAACGCGGTTGTTAATGTTGACAGTGAGGGAGCGATGGCAATGTTGTTGAACGAGCGTCAGGCCTGAGAAGAAGAATAGTGTCGCGCAGCGGGCCAAGGAGTGTAAAGTATGTGCTAATAGCGATTGTTCGGCTTGATCGGTGGGTGTCAGCAATTGAAGAGACAAAGTGGTCACTCGTTGGTCCGGTGAAGGCGCTTTGCACTGGGCCCGAGTGGCGGCGCGTGGCAACTATGCAAACGGTCCTGTTGCGAGCTCCACGACTTCCGCTTCAATTCCGAGACTTTCTTGAAGATGGAGCCAAGATCAGAGTGGGAGAAGACGCCTGCGATAGTCATTCGCTTGTAGAACAGCGCGGTATAGCAATTGAAGTCGGGTTTTCGTGAAGGAATGTCGGCGTGGTGGCCAAGGCCAAGATACAGCCAAAATCACTGCAGCGAATTAGTCTGAATCTAGTCTCACCATGATCTTACAGCGAGAGCATGCTCGTCTCCGCCGAGTCTCGTATTGTAGGGCGCTTGTAGTATCGTCAAAAGCCACTGCGGATCCGAACCACTTACCTCTCAAAGCAGATTGGAACCTACCAAAACCGGAAAACACCTCGATTAGGCTGGGTTGCAAGACCGCGAGACAAAAGGCAGAGGCGATCAAGCCAGCGTCGACTAGAGGCAGTCTCTGCTGATCTAGACGGAAGCGCGTGCGTACCGTGTACGACCTAACTAACGGTTACGACCGTGGACTCGATGATAATTGGAGTGAAAGACATGACAGAATACGGGTAACGCGGAAACCAAGAGATGTTCGACAATACTGAGTTTTCCATTGTTTTACTTGCTTGAATGTGCTTTTCTAATCACGCTGCTGAGAACATGTAGGAACTCATCGCCGGGATGCTGCTGGGAAGATGGTGGGAGGAGCTAGCTCTATCGCCACCAGAATTATGTACAAGGTGTAAAAGGGAAGGGGTATAGCAGCGAACGTAATCTTCATAGTAGCCTAAACTTCCGATACTAGCTCTTAGAAATAGCCAAGCAATGAACAAGGACACCAAGTCGGGTATTAGATGGTGCGGACGCCACGTGCCAACTCGGCGCGTACACGCCTCCTGTATTGGTCACGGTATTGGATGCGACCGTATGTCCCGAATCCAACGGCAAGGAAGAAGAAGAGCGCCCATACGGATGTGACAACCAGACCGATTGGGAAGAAAGCCAAGGCAGTTCCGGGGATGATGAACGGTGCGGCAGAGGAGACGGCAGCGGATGCGGATGCTGCGGCTTGGGGGTCTGCATTGGTGGGAGCATTGCCTGCCTTGGAGAAGATACCATTGACGAATGATGCCTCCTGGGAAGAGAGAGTGGTTTCGACGTCCTGGCCGGTTGCAGGGTTTCGCGCAGCGAGGTCGATTTGCGGGATGAGAAGGGGCTGGAGGGATTCTCTGCAGATGTGTTAGAGACAGAAGTATAAATGAAGAAGAGGGATACGTACTGGGTCATGGCTGAGCCCATCAGGTTCTCATTAATCCTTCCGACATACATGAGGACCTTGAGTTCCGTCATGCTGTTGATGTCCTGCCTCTCAACCAGCATACCCTCACTGACTGGCCAGCTGAGGTCTCGCTTGGTAAAGTTGCCCTGCATGTTCTGCACAGTCGCACCGAGGTACGAAAGTGTCATGCTGACATCGGCCGCGGTAACGCCAACCCATGGGTTGATGGGAGCTGATACATTATACATTCGGAGCTCCGCCTGGAAGACACCCGTCTTGTTGTCAAGGAAAGGTAGGTTGTAGCACACGGCGATTCCACTCGGGTTCGACGCTTGGCCGTTGAGATTGCTGAGCGTGCTCATACATGCTTCCTTTGTTTGTTGCTCCCACTTCGCTTGATCGACACCCGACGCATCACCAGTCGCGGGTGTCAGCGATGCTAGCGGTGCTGTATCGGCAGAGTTGGCATCTTGTCTTTGCGTAAGGGTTGCCATGAGCTCTGCGTCCCTCCGAAGTACCTCTTCCACGTCCTGGCCTGGCTCGAGAAGCGCGTTCACTTGGGGGCCCTTGAAGGCAGTTGCGTGTCCAGCAGCAAGCAGAGTGCCTACGAAAGCGCTCTTGAAAAACATGGTCGAGGTAGTATTAGTCGACGCCGGAAAATTAAAGTCGGTAGTGCGAAGGTGGCCGGGCTGCCCAGCAGCTTACGAGAAGGAAAGTGGCGAGCGAAGAAAGAACGACGAAGCAAAAGCTAATCACTGCTGAAAAGAAACGGGCATTAGAAGTGTCATTAGCAAAAGCGAATTAGAAAAGTCGAACACGCGAGCATGAAGAAACGCGGTGTGCGAATCACGGCAATGGGTGGATCGGACGAGAACGGCTCGCAATGGCGTGACTCAGGTCGGGCACCAGACTCGAAAAGCAGCACCAAGACTGGCTTGAGGCTCCATAACAGAGTTGAGACGGACTCTGCTTGAGGCTGTGACGGGTGGCACACGACATTTCTATGCGTTGATCCCGAGGCGACTAAGAAGAAGCTTAATTTAGCATAGTAGAGCCGCATTTGGTGGGAGCCAACCAAGCTGTGGCCTGGAGATCGAACCGTTCGGGAGTGGGGGCGCACTGGGCATGACGATGCTGGGCCCCTTGAGACAATTGGTGTTGAGGTCTGGAGTCGGGGAACGATGCTAAAACTAGGGGCGCTTCAGGTGTGCGCTAGCAGGGCACGTGACGTCGTCCTCCGAGCCAATAGCATCGTCGTGTGCCGCCTCTCCCGGCATTTCGGTTTCACCCTCGAGCCGTGCAGAAGCCGATGTCCTGAGTTTCCCATTGCACCAGCCTCCGCTGCGCCATCGGTGCATCGCAAAATCTCCTGCTGTGTGGCTTCCGGCGCGTGCTTCCTCAGAAACGGGCGATGTTGACACGGGTAGCGGCCGCTGTCATCTTGTACTTGCGACACTCGCGCTGATACAGGCGGGTCGCCGGGCGCAACACCTGGACAACTGTACAACATCGACCGCATCTTCACTACCGCCCAACGGACCCAGCCGCCTCGCTGCTGTCGAAGCACGTCACTCCCGAAGCCACACGGACATTAGTTGTTCCCGGTGCGTGTGCCGAGAAGAGACGGTGAGCTGTGAAACCTCGTGTCCCAACCTCCACCCGGCCAATACCCCAACGCGCATATCCGCGGTATCTCCCTTTATGCCAATAGTTATTCACTGTGTACCAGAGCACAGAGGTCCTGCGTCCTGCGTCCGTTGCTCGTCGTGTGGTCTTAGTCCTGCAGCAACTTAGCGGCCTTGTCGCGCAACGCACGCATAGTCAGGCACACTGCCGACCACACTTACTGGGTACGGGACGGATCGCGCGCTCCATATCAGACTGCTCGATGATCTGGCACCATACGGGAAAGTATGGGCTGCGAACATATGCACACGATACGCCTTTGACGATGAAGGCGACTCTGAGGTGGCCACGTTCGCCTGCATACAACTAATCCACATGGGTGCGCTTGTGCCCAGCGTGCATTCGCCCAACACATACACCCACTGCCTATGCCCATATATTGTCATCCTCCACTAATGTCTTGCAAAATGCGGGCACTAACTGCCAGCACATCAAAAGCCTCTAGACCTCTACTTGGGGCAGCCTTATTTGGGCTTGTCACAGTGTAAGCGGTCGACTCTGCCCGAAGGGTCCCGCTGTACTTCATCTGCAGACCAGGGCACCTGGACCCAAGTCGTCCTTCAAGGCTCTCACGTTTCTCGCTCTGTTACGCTCATTCTCTTTGTTTGTTTTTGCACATCGTCACAAGCCTACACCAGGCGAGTCTACAGTCGCTGCAAACATCTAACATTCCTCGAGGACGCTTTTCGTTGGTCACGCGCCGACCACCTGTACGCAATGCAGCACGCCTCGAACTCGCCGTGGCGGACGCCTGCGATGCAATATCCCAAACCCCAATACAGTCTCCAGCACACCATATCCATGGTCAACCTCCGAGACGATGATCAATCGTGGTACAACAACCGCGAGACCGCATCTCCAACAGTCTCGTCCGCCTCATCCGCCACCAGCCGAAGTACAACGCCCACAACAACGAACAACAACCCGTGGTCGAATGTAATGGTCAGCCCAGCTTCGACATATTCCAACAAGTCGTCCGACTCATCGTCGCCCAAAGGCAGCCCAAAACATACCCCGCAATACACCAGCCGATCGACAACGCCCCAGCCCATCGCCCCCCAGCCAATAAGGGTCATTAATCCGGTAGCAGGATTTGCGCCCATGTCACCGCCTCCCTCAGCTTCTGGTGAGTCGTTCAGAAATGGCGATTACCCGGGTTCACCCATGAACCCGTACCGACAACCTGCTGCTCCACTTGTTCCGTTGGTAAACGGGTACATCAACACATCAATCCTGTCTTCACAGGGCCAGTCTCTTTCCGGATGGTTCTACGAGCTCGTGCGAAAGCAAGGATGGGATGCTGGCCTAGTCAAGAAGATATGGCAGTGGACGTTGTCGAACCCTAGGCTGGCAATCCTCTTGTTTGTCTGCGACGATGTTGCCTCGTGGCGTCAGGCATCTTTCTTTGACCTTCGAGACGAAAGTTTGCCATTCCCGGAGGACCGTCTTCAAGGCATCGTGGGAAATGCGCGAAAGGTCGTCGACGAACAATGGCGTGCCACATCCAAGGAGTTACCATTGACGGGAGCACATGTCGACTACACCGCACGCGAAACAGTGCCACTACAGCACGTCAGTCTCATTCGATCATCGCGCAATTCTGAGAAAAGCGTCGACTGGGTTAAGATGCAAGGTAGCAGCGAGGATCGTGTGCTCGTGCGAAAGCGCTTTGTCACTGCTCGCTCCGCTCAAAAAGCTGCGCTGTTAGATCAGATCAACAAGTTCAAGCAGTATGAGCACAAGAACATTGCGAAGTTACTTTGCTCATATGCCCAGCCCAGTCATGTTGGCATCATCACGGAAAAAGCACAATACACTCTGGACGACTTCCTTGCGCTGCCTGGAACAGACCCAAACCGCTCGAAATTGCTGGTGGACTGGATGGGCGACTTGTCCTCTGCTCTTGAACATCTCCATTCACAGTCCATCTGCCATCGAAGCATTCGGCCTCGCAAGATCTTGATTGATGGCGCTCGCATTCTACTTGCTCCATTCGACATTGGGCAGAGCATCGACACATTCAGCCCGACAATGGCGAACTCCCAACGCCTGGACCAACTACACACATACTTCCAAGATCAATCCTACGTCTACGCTGCACCTGAGGCTATTGTCTCACGCGGTAAGAGAATGGCAGACGTTTTCTCGCTGGGTTGTGTGTTCTTGTCGATGATGACAGTCGCACAAGGCCAGTCACTATCAGTGTTTGCACAGTACCGGGCTGCGAACACCCAGGACGCCTCATACCATGCACATCTCGACCGGGTAGCAAGTTGGCGAAACCGGCTCCACGCTGCCACCACCTCGAACCTCCGAAACGGACTCATCGGGTCTGGAAGGAAGCTGAGGCAGCTGAAAGCGGAAGCCGACTGGCTGACCATTATTGAGAAGATGCTCCTACCGGGACCGAAAGAGAGGATCAAGATGCGCTTTGTGCTGGCCAGCCTAAACAGCGGCAAAGCTACAGGCGGAAGACGACGTAGCTTGGACGGCGGCGGTTACAGTGGACAGGCAGCAGCATCGCTCGGCGTCAACGGTGCAACAACCGCGACGCTGGTCGACATCTCGGAACATCACGCGCCACGTAAACCGGAGCTAAGCGTCTTCGATGGTTATTTCCAGACGCAGACCCGCAGGTTAGAACCAGCGGGTGGTTGGTAATCGGAAACTTCGGACAGCGTGTCAAACATGGACTCATGCTGAGGTGATACTTGGCGAAACATGTTAGACATCGGCTTTTGATGGTTGTCGGGCAATTGTCATGCCGAAGCCAATGTTGAGTGTGAAACTTGACAGCTCGGGATGAGACGAAGCCCTACAACGCCTCAGACACGACATCAACGAGGATACGCCGAGGATGTGTGTATGGTCGCCACAGGCAGGGAGGCCTTTCTTACTTTCTTCATATCTTGTCCGTACTGGATTTGGGTCGGACCTTTGATACCCCTTCTTGCGACCCTATTTGGATGATTATCTTGGTTCTTTCTTTCTTTTCGTTTGCTTCCCGTTTCGTAGCATCTTTATTAGCGACGCGGCATCTAGCGAGCATTTAGAGCAATGATCATGAGCTACTTTTACACTAAGAAGAGGGCATTCACACCACCGTGACTATGGGCTTGGACTTAGCGATGCGCCCTAGGAAGGAAAAGCCCACCCGAGCCCATACCAGGCGCCAATTATGGAGGAAAGAGCAGGTGTGTGGGCACAACACCCGTAACTTTTGGACAGGTGAGGAGACACAAAAGCCTTGACAAAGCCTTGACAAAGCCGTAGCTTCGACCTCGATTATGATCATAGACCTATACGTGGGAATGTCGTCAAGTGGGATTGAGGATGGGGTCAGACCGTGGTTCCTTCCCCAGGACGCAGACGCGACATCCGCACAGAACCTGACATCATCGACGCGTCGGTAAACAATGGTCACCCACCAAGGCCGCAGTAAGCACTCCAGTACATCAGAACCTTGGAAGCTTCCAATACCTCTTATCTTCACATCCACTCCCATCGCAACCAAAAGACGTCTCCGCTTCCACCATCCAACACAACCTATATTTGCTTCCAGTCTCGTCTCGCTTTGCCCATCGATTCGATGCCGGCCATCCACGATCTCAAGCCATCCAGATCTGGTGCTGGCCCCGCCAGTACAGAACTTCCTTCTCTCCGACTCGTGGAGCGCCGAGATGACCTATCTAGCGGAGAACGGCATTCCCGCCATCGGCGACAAGGAGTTCGACGCACTTGGTTATAACGGCGTAATATCAGCAAAGTCATTATACTGGCTGTCACGCAAACGCGAAGAAGATGATGAATGGGCCATTGAAGCGGAACGCAAGCTTGACGGTGCGTCGGTCAGCACCATTGCTAAGAACCGTGTGGGAACCAGTGAGTTTCCACACCTCGCTTTCCACGTCGACAACTCTGGACGCAACCCCAGAGATGTGTTTGACGGTGCACACGACCCGGTGAATGACGCCGCAATGACACTCCTCAACGCGATCGGGTGCGCGATCGAACATGCAGCATATGAGGGCATACTGGACCGCGACGAAAAGCCAATGTCGTGGGATTCGACTCCACCAGTGACGCCTACCTCGCCATGGCACATCGCCGCTGTTGATGCGGAGGGCGCCAACGTCCCGCGCAAGACCGTCCTGTCCGAATGGGGTACCGTCCATCTGCGGTCTGTGGATGTCGAACGGCTGCCCTATAGGCTTTGGTATACTAAGTTCAGGTGTTCGTTCTCTCAATATCCTAGACTCCAATTGGTATAGGATTTGAAACCATGCTAACTTCATCGACAAAAGGTGGGCCAACGTCCACAATCCCTTCTGCCCTCGGCCCCGCGCCCGATTCCTGTGGTTCGACAAGCAGACTGTCATCAAAAAGCTCGACACAAAGGAGATGGGCGGGGCGATTCTCGGCGATCTTTCTGCCACGGGCTACACGCATCGTCATTTTCATCTCTGGCCGGCGAACGAACGGGTGGCAGAGACCGCTGCAGCTCTTTGCGCTGGAGCAAACAGTGTTTAAGAGCGCACCGACCCGCATTCACCTTCCATGGACCTTTTTTGTTGTGGCCTTATGACGCAGCGCCGCTCGCGCCGTTCTTCAAGTTCTTCTACTGCGAGCTCACCACTGTCGAGAACCTCTCCCTGGCACATCGCCGCCGTCGATGCCGAGGGCGTAGTAGTACCAGGGAACGTCGCTCTTGGAATGGGGCACGGTGCACCTCCGCTCAGTCGACGTCGAAAACTTGCCTTATGACCAGTGGCACAAACAGATCCGGTGTAAGTCCTCGCCTGACATCTAAGGCTTCAACCTCCGGTCAGTTTCATAGACAATACTAACTTCTCTCTAGGCTCCATGATCGTCGACCAGCGATACATCCACACCAAGCACCCGTACTGCCCTCGACCACATTCAATGTATCTATGGTGCCGGGACCAGACTGTGCGCGTTGAGCTTGAGGCAAAGGCCCTCGGGAAAGCGATCATGAACGACTTGTCCGTGGAAGGTTACACCCGGACACACTACTCTAAATGGCCGGCCAACATTCGTGCTGCAGAATCCGCACCAGCGCCAGTCGTCGAAGAGGCCGCCCCGCCTTCGGCGCCGGTCTCAACGGTATTGAGCGGGCCTTGATCGTCAACCGGTGGACAAACACTTGCGATCTTATACTTAGGCATATTATAGACAGTTAGGTTAGCTCTTGTAGAGAATTGTGCATAGTGGATCTATCTTTCCGCGGAACTGCCTATAATAATTAGTTAGACTAAAGCCTTAAGTGCTGAAATTATATCCGACATCCTTTGAACGGTTTGGGACCCAACATCGGTCATAGTGCCATGATAGCAGTTACTACCGCCAAAATTCAAGAATAATATTTGAGATGTTGATCACACGATGCCAGCGGAGACATTTGGCTAGGACTACACGTATCATCAGGAACTCCACTTGCGTGTGTAGTAATAACGGTCTATACAGATCTATCCTACAGACGCGAAGCTACCCACTCCGTCCGCACCAGCCAAGCTAGCTATGCAAATCAAGTAGCAGTCACACCCACGCAACGCAGCGGATATCCAAGACGTCTCTTCGCGAAAGCACGACACACCAGAAAGACACCGTCTACCCAGCATGTTCCACAATCTCACTAACAAGCTTACCATCCTTGACATAGCTCCTGATCTGCTCCGGCAACGGGTTCTCAGCGTAGTCGTCTTCGGTCGGCAGGTTGATGTTGATACTACTGCACTTGCTTGTGAAGACCTCGGTCGCTAGCGAGTCTTTGGAGAGGTATACGGTGGCGCCGTCGACCTGGTCGAGGAGGATGGTGGGGAGGGTGCCGAGAACCTGCAGCGCAAAGTTGGGGCACTTGATGACGTCCACGGAGCTGACTAGCGAGTCGATGATGAGTGATGTGCGGGAGGAGTTGTCAAGCGAGAGCGCGTTGGCTTTGCCGTTGATGCGGATGGTGGTGTTTTTGCAGCGCGAGATGAGGATGGAGTGGTTGATTTCGGCGTCGATTTCGAGCGTCTCGCCTGGGGAGTCGAAGTTGTCCTATGGGGGTGTCAGTAGTGAAGCTATCCTCTTCACCAAGGATACATACTATTATCCACTTGTTTCCGTCCAGCTCCTTCTTCGGTGGCTTCTTCGTCCGCATGCTCTCCGGCTTCTTAGCTTTGGGCGGCGCAGGACTCTTACTCCTGAGACTGTCGTTGCTGTCGCTTCGTGTAGGGACCGATGCGCCTGCCCGCAATGATGGGTTCTTATGCGTCATCTGGCTTGGGTCGACCTTCTTAAGCCCCTTTGTAACATCTGAGCCCTTGTTGAGATCGCCAAAGACAGCGTTCATGTCGGGCGCGGCCTTCTTGGCCACTGGTGCGGCACCTGGTGGCGGCGGTGGGCCTGGTGGTGGGGGAGGACCAGGCGGTGCTGGAACGCCTCCTGTTGGAGGAGCGGGTGGTGGTGGAGGAATGTTGGACGCGCCGGACAGAGGTGCCGAGGAGATTTCCTTTGCGGCATCTTTGGCGTCGATGCCGTTGCTGTTCCAGGCTACACCTGTAGCGTGGTGCTTCTTTGCGTATTCGGCGAGAGCCTTGAACAGCTTGTAGTAGGCCTGCACCCACTTGACGTGGGCTTCACCGTCGGGCCTGAATCTGTTAGTTCGGCCTCAATTCGAATGCCAGCATGCCTTACTTGTCCCGGTACTCCTTAAGCACTTTGTTGCCGTACATCTGAGCTCCGCCGAACAGCTCGTTGATGTGCTCATGGGGCTTCATGCCTCCGCCCTGGCCAATTGTGACCCAACCAAGCGATCCGACGCCATCGGCGACCATGGAGACGGAGTCCTTGAGCGCAGGGTCGCGGTTGCTCTGTCGGAACTCGTCCGTCTTCTCCATGCTGGCCTGGAGGTCCTTGAGCAGTTCCATCAGAGTGCGGTCGTCGGGCTTCTTGGCCTTGTTCGCGATGAAGAGGAACTGGCGCTGGGCAGCGAATGCGCCCTCGACTGCTTTGGACTGGCCCTCAATGACGCTTCCCAGCTTGCTGCTCAGGTCCAGCCAGTTCTTCAGGTCCGAGCTAACCAGCTCATCGAATGCCTCAATCGCCGGTGGTGCGCTTTCCGCGACGAGTTTGGGGGTGCTGGCACTTGTGTTGGCCGCGGTGACGCCTGGAGTAGCCTCGGTGGACGCTCCATTGAGGCTGGCAGCTCCATCGCCGCTGCTGGGCAGAGAGGTGCTCGCGATGTCTTCGAGACGCGAGGTGGCCGCTTCGAGCCTGCGGACCATGTTCGTCAGTACATTGTCTGCTGCGAGCTGTATTTGCCCCTGTCGACCGAGGATGTGTGCTTGTTCGGGCCTGGGAGCCATCGTGGGGTCGTTTCATAGAGGATGCGGGATGCGCAGGGTGTGGTAGGACGATGGGTTCGGGTGCTGGTAGGTGATAGTCTCGGAAGGAAGGTACTTACCGCTTGATCAGCGTCGTCAGGTTATTCATGTTGTTCGCCATGTGGAGAAGGCACGTCGCAGCGTTTGCAAGGTAGGACAGGTATCTTGAATGCCCGGGGAAGGGGCAGCCGCGGCACGCTGCAGCTCGTGCGACGCGATTTGGCTGGTTCGGAGTAGAGAGAGGCCGTGATGCAGCAATCCAAGCTCTCGATGATAGGAATATGAGGACTGTCGGAGATATTTAATTGGAAAAGCACAATTGCAGGCAGAACCTCACTGGGTCAGCTCTCCCCGGCGCATGGCCACGGCTGCCCACGTTGCGCTAGCCGTCTGCAGCCAAGCCTGGTCCGTTCGAGACATGCACGTCAGCGGCAGACTATCAACCTTGCGATCTACACAAGGCGACATGGAAACATCCAACATGGCCGACGCAGCACACGGCAACTATGGCAAGATCGACTTCTGCACGCTGGGGATGTTCATCATCGGTATGCGTCAGATATTCTTCAACACATGCAAGCCACTGAAATTGTCAAGATGAGATTGAGTTTCCCCCACCAAAGCCGCCAGTCAAAGACATCGTTGGCGGAGCTGGATCATATTCCGCATTAGGCGCACGCATCTTCTCCCCACCACCACAATCAGAGTCTGTGGGTTGGATTGTAGACTGCGGGTCTGACTTCCCACCTGAACTGCGCGACTTTATTGCACAATGGAAGACTGGTGCACTGATACGTGAGACGCCTAATCGGCTGACTACACGAGGTTGGAATGGATACACTGGTGAGAACGAGCATCGAGGTGAGTGTCTGTATTACCAGTGAGTGATCCGATGTCTAATCACTCTGGTGAAGCTTTCCGATACTTGACGCCAAAGCTGCGCGTCGACCATGAGGATCTGAAGAACACAGATCTCTTGTGGTCCAAGTCCTTCCATCTGATCTGTTCCCCGTTACGTTGCATCGACCTGGTTGAGAACATCATTGCATTGCGCAAGCAACATCCTAATTCGGCCCATATCTCTCGCCCGATATTCATCTGGGAGCCTGTTCCTGATCTTTGTACGCCTGAAGAGTACGATAATTGCCTGAAGGCGCTAAAGCATGTCGACATTGTCAGTCCGAACCACGGGGAACTTGGCGGCTTCTTTGGCAAGAACACCGACGGGAAGGATCATGTGGAATTCCGAACAATCGAAGAGCTATGCGGTCAGTGGCTAGACAGTGGTGTGGGTAATGGCAATGGTGGGGTCGTCGTGCGTTGTGGGAAAGACGGTTGCCTGGTGATGCGCAAAGGGTTGCGCAAATGGATGCCTGCGTACCACCTGTCAGCAGAGAAGGTGGAAGATCCTACAGGAGGAGGCAACAGCTTTCTCGGTGGCCTGGCGGTCGGCCTAATTCGGGTACCAGGGTATCTCGAAGAGGCTGCGATTTGGGGGTCCATCTCGGCGAGCTTCGCCATTGAGCAAGTCGGCATGCCCATTCTCTCACAATCAGCAGACGGGGAGACGTGGAACGGGGTTCGTGTCGAAGATAGGCTTTCAGATTTCAAGCAGCGCCTGGCTAGTTATATACAGCCATAGTCGCGGTCGCTGTTCCCTTCTCCCCACTCCCAACCAATCTAACCCTCAAGAGTCTTCTCGATGATGCTCTGGTCTTGTTTCCGCTCGTGTTCCCGAATCTGTTTGGTCCAGCTGTCTGTTGTTAGCTTCCAAGTCTGATCTGAGGATATCCGTGGATGTCGTACTATCGGCTGGGGAAGAATCGGTGGCGTTCGGGCATCTTGTCGCGGTACTCGCGGTTTGCGCTGAGCATCCAGGCCATGCCGACGATGCTGCCGAGGGCGAGGCCTACGACGGCCGTGTTGGCTTTCCAGTTGGCGGGTTGGGCGTACCAACCACCGGCCGGCGACCAGACGTGCTTGGGGTATCTAGTCGACGTCAACTCTGCACTGGCAAGCGATTGGCGGGCTGCTCGTACGGGATCTTTCCTCCTCCGCCCATTGTGAAGGTGGTTGTGCGGGTTCGTGGGGTTGCTGTTGCGGAGCTGCCCTGAGGTCGCTGTCGCATGGGAGGGCTAGCACGGGCCCTGAAGCTTGGCGGAAATTCTTTGGCAGTCGCGATCATGACCTGTGTGAACACACGACCGGCCAATTGCTGCTGCTGCCGACTCCGCCTCTCCTGATCTGCTGCCGTCTTCTCCTACATTTTGTCTTAATGAAGCGGATACCCATATCACGATGCGCCTCGCAATTGCTGGGTGCACCCTCGCCACGCCGGCCCTCGTGCCCATACACAGCGGCAAAGAACGTGCGGAGAAGCATTATACCTCATAGCCCCCGGATACAGGCTCGGCTTCAGAGCACAGTAGCAATTCCGGATGACGGTGAATCGGAACTCGAGATTGCCGCAAACTCTGCCACACCGTCAACGTCGACACCCAGACCAAGAAGGCGTCTCCCGCTCGAGAGCCTCCCATCTCCACATCCCAGTGCCGCCGAACGTTCGACAAAATTATACGCCCTCCGCAGTCGATTATCTCTCCCACCTCGCTTCCCCCTCCCGGTTCTCGCACGAACCCTCATCCACCCCTCCGCCGACCCAAACCCCGCCTTCAATAATGCCTCGCTATCAATACTCGGACGCCAGCTGCTTGGCTACTACACTTCCGAGTGGCTTCTGTGCAACTACCCACGCCTGCCAATGGACGTCGTCTTCGCCGCAACAGAGGCATACATCGGACCAAGAGCGTTGACCACAATCGCAAGCGAATGGGGTATTGAGGCGGCGGCGGAGCCGGGTGGTGAAGTCGACCCTGGATTATTACAATTTAAGAGGATACAGTCGGGCGATGCTCTCCCAGCAGAGTTGAGGCGGCAAGCACCCTGGAAGTGGAACATCACCACCACACACAAAATCATGAAGACTGACGAATTTGGCTCCGACAACGCAGCACCCAGTCCGCACGCGCTACAGAGCACGCCGGTACCACTGGAAGAGGCAGCTCAGTCTTTCGTTCGAGCCCTCATCGGCGCATTGCACGTACACTTGGGCTCCCCGCTCGTCAAGCGCTTCTTCCGCGACCACTTCCTCAGCCGGCACCTCGACATCAGCACAATTTTCGATTTCCGAATGCCGACACGCGATCTTTCACGGTTATGCGCACGAGAAGGCTTCGAGCCACCGGTTGCCCGATTGATCTCAGAAACCGGTCGTCTGAGCAGACATCCTGTCTTCGTGGTTGGCGTATACAGCGGAAAGGACAAGCTAGGAGAGGGATCAGGCAGTTCATTAGATGAGGCCAAGACAAGAGCAGCGGCAGCAGCATTGAAGGCATGGTACCTATACAAGCCGGTCGAGGTCACCGTCCCAAGCAGCATGGAGGGCGAATTGGATACGAGCAAGTGGCGGCCGAACCACGTCGACCACGGAGAGGTCATTGTGTAAGATACGCGGCATCAACCCCACTTTTGGAGTTGTAGGGATATACTTTTGGCATGCATGTCATGCATGGACGGCATACTCTTCGCTTGTACAGATTCATGATAGCGCAGGGGGGCAGGAAAAAGAACTGTGTCGGAAGAAGGCCGGAGAGGAGGGGAAGACTTACCCCACGTTTTGCTACGTCGAGGGTTCAGGACTGCGCACCCTGCGAGCACTGCGCATGTATCATATGTGACATGAGGATATCATGATAATCCGCAATGTGTACAATACAAACGAAACGCTGCATCACAATACCCATTGCTTGTTTTTTCGGTTATGATTCAGAGCTGGAATGTGATGATCTGTAACTTTCGCCCAGGAATACTCCAGCTCAAACCATGCCTTTCGTAGGGAGGAGCACGGATCACAAGAGATCGAACTGGCGACCGTGACGTATTCAACTTACCCTACCTTGGCGACGTTCAACTCGTAATAGCTGCAATTGCATCGTCACAGGACCTGCCCGAAGAGAACAACAGAGCCCACAATCCAGCTTCCCTAAAACATCCCTCGCATTCCAGAGTAGTTTCAGTCCTGGTAGATAGCGACTATCTAGGCACCGCAAGGGTTGCTGGGTCGGTGGCGGCGCGCATCCTTGCGACTCCTCTCGCGCGGCACAAATAAGGCCCAACACTTCCACGTCGGGTGCGGAGAAGTACGAACCCTTCTCTGGAAACACAAAATCGCCAACAAACATGCCACCAAAGCGCACCGCGACTGCTCGTCATGAGAGGTCCACTGAGGCCTCTGTACGAGCGCACAAGAAGATCAGAATTGAACCAGAAGACCCGCCGCCTGATCCCGTGCCCGACGGCTTGAGAGAAGCCAGAGCAGAGATTACCAGGTACATTGAAGCAATGGAACGAGTGCCACTCCGCCGTCGGCTTGATGTGCATTGGAAGATTGGTGGTGTTCCTCGCGGCGACCCCGAAAACATCATTCGCGAACTAAACGTCGACCATATCAAAGAAGTAATGGAGCGCGACGCCCAAGTCAGTGCAGCGTTCGTGTCGCTCAAAAAGACGTTGGAAGAAGGCAAGCCCGCCCCGGGTATCTACAACCCTTACATCAAGCACGGCAAGTGGGATCTTTTCTCCAGCGAAGTCTTCACGGAATTCCTGCTCTGGAATATCGACAACATGGAGTTTAAACAGTTTTGCGTAAATCAATGGATCGAGTTTCATGATCCTGACGCAGAAGTGGATTTCATGGACTGCCACTGTGGCCGCCCGGAAACTTATGGCACTATCGTTGGACCCAGACAGATCAAAGGAGATTTCAAACCGTTTGACTGGCCACAGGAGGCTTCACTCGAGCCCATTGTCGTAAAAACCACGAGTCGATGTCGGGAAATCAAGATGTGGTTCGCAGGAAATGGGTACATGAGGATGCAATGCGACATGGGTTCCGTAGAGGAGCTCGCAAATGGGCAAGCGAAAAGGGTGACTTGGAATGCGATACAAAACACGAAGGAACACAAGGAGCGTGAACAGAAAGCGTTCATGGCTCGTAGGAGGAGGGAAGATGAAGAATTTCGGGTCAGACAAGCGGAAGCAATTAGGAGACGGGAGAGAGAAGAAGAGCAAGCGCGGGAACAAAAGAAGGAAGATCATAGGCTTTGGGTAAGGAAGAAGCAGAGGCGACTGAAGTTGAGGCGGAAATACGAAGATGGCGATATTAACAGTTCAGAGCTGGAGCTGAGCACCGAGGAAGAAGATGGCGAGGGCGCCACTGATGCGGAGGAAAGTCGCTCTTCTGCGTCGCCTGAGCCGTGGGATTCGTCAACGGGCGAGGAGGATTGGACTGAGTCGGAGTCGGAAGAGGAGGAGTCGGAAGAAGAAGAAGAGGAAGAGGAGGAAGAAGATTCGGATGAACAAGAGCCCGAATCGTCAAGATTTTAGCGGAACATCGACTGCCTTCCTCATTTAGAGCATTGTCTGTACAATATCGCTAGTACTATGACATCATGGGATCCTCAAAGCCTTCTCCGATGTTGGCATATCCATGTAGACGACAACGTAGTAGACTTCCGACACCTCTGCCTAAGGTCAATTGAAGAAGTGCAGGTTATGTAATCTCCCGTGTGGTACACCCCGTGGTCTATTAGCTTGTTTGTAGATGAAGACAATGATGTAAACAACGCGATATGTTTCCAACCCACACCCGAATTTTCTTGGTGAGGTAAATCAGCACGTGCGACCACGTGCCCGCCACTACGGCGCCTTCTAAGGTTCTCTCACCTTCAAGTAAAGGTAGCAGGCCTGATCGACGGGTATATACTCAACCTCGTTACTGACCTATCTCCCAGTCTCCTACACCACACTCGACATCGTTCATAACTCAGCATCGACTAAAACACAATCCTCAACATGGCCGACTTCGGTATAGTACCTGTCATGGAGATAAACTGCGAGGCTCCTATGTCAACACTCTACGCAGAGCTGAACGAACAGGAACAACGCGGTAAGTTTTCTTTCGTTTCCGTTCGATCTACGAATACTGACTGTATATCCGCAGTCACTGCAGGTACTCCAGGCAGCGGCATTAGCACTGGCATTCCAAAGGTGGAAGTCAGCATGGCCAACGCCAAGAAGGTCGGAAGAGTCATTGCAGCGTACTATGGCACTGTTCCCAATGGTTTCTTGGCCACTGTGGTTGGATTGCACGTCGACGCTGCCAAAACAGCCACCGCCGCAAAGACCTTTCGTAGGATGAAGAGCGACCTCTTTGTCGAGAAGTTCGGCAATAACTCATTCATCTACAAGTTCGCTCGCGGCAAGGTCAGCACGTCCGACTTTCTCACCTATCAACACAATTTCGCCATCGAGGCGCGCATCTGTGAGTTCCCGGTCGCAAACGAGAATGATGCCGCCATTGCTCGTCGCGCCGCCAAACGCCAGGCATTACTCGATGCCATGGCATCGAGTGAGCAGGTCTGGGTTGACACATACACTGTCGCATTCAACAAGGCTAAAGCGGCACACGAAAAAGCACGTGGTCTTGGGAAAGTCCGCCTGGCACGAACCCGCGACCTTTTCGAGACGCTCATGGCTAACCCGCCCCGTTGCGCCGTCGACGTTACGACGCTCCTGAATCGCCGAGCATGCGAACAAGCAAAGATGATCCCGTTGCTGCTCCGAACGATGGACGAGCGCGTCAGGTTCTGGTTCGATCACGTCACCAAAGACACAATCGCGTCTCACCTTGGCGCAGCGATGTCTGTGGTCGACATTCGGTGAGTACCTACTTTACGGACATGAACGAGACTTCTTGCACGCTACTAATCTCCCACAGGCGCATGTGCATCGATGAAGTCGCGAATTCTCCGGATGTCATTCCTCCGTTCCACACAATTGTGGGGAACGTGTTCGCGTACTCTTGCGAGCTTCTGCATCGTCTTATCGTCGCGCCGGAGGACAGCAAGCGTCTGCAGCTGCTGCTCAATGATCGTTCGCTCCGGATGGCAAGCGTCGACATGTCGGGTGACCTGTCCCCCGAATGTTTCGATCAAATCCGCGGCCTTCGCAACTCTCTGGACTTTGAGGCAGCAGAGAACGGATCATGGAAGGATATCCCGGTGTTGGTCCCAGAAACTCGAGGCAAGAAGCGCTCAGCGCCTGAGGAAGATGGACGGAACACCAACTAGACATTTAGGGGAGCCCTTGGTGCTGTCGGACGGGAAGATGGAGACGTTGCGAACTGCATGCTTGGCCTGTGTCGCGAGGAGTTCGGTGGATTAGACTGATGGATGACGTCACATGTGTGCCAAGGATGGCCGGTGCTGGATAGAAACGCGTCTCGCGCCTCACAAGTCAGGAAACCACACGCTATTCTGGCGTCTACATCAATATATCATCACGAATGCTTCACGTCCCTAGACCATTGTAGCCGCCCGGGTCACACATGCATTTTGGTAATGCTCTGATGAGCTGTGCTGTAGTAGGCAAAACGAAGCGTTCGCTAGGAAGAAAGTAGCTCCTTCCTCACACAGTGTAGCTCCGCTGTCGCTGTGCTGCTTGCTCACACCACTCACGGCCTCACGGAGAAGCGGGTGAGCTCACTCACTAGACGCCCACATTGGCGGTACTCAAATTACCGATGAAGATCAGCCCTGGAGGCCGCCCCGGCTCAATTGCACGCGATATCAATCGTGAGATTGGTCAAGCTCATGTACAAGCTGACGAGCAGACCTTCCCGGGGCCAAGGTTGACCTGCCGCTCCATAGTAACACCACGCCTAGAACCGTTGATCAAACCGGAAATCCCGACATTATGCTCACAGTATTGGGGTAAGAGAACCACGTGACCCCGCTTCCTCCCGCGATCAGGTAAAGGCAGTGGGCTGGGTGGGCGGGTGTATACTTCAGTTCTGCTGCTGACTTGACTTCCAGTCTTCTACACTCTTTTCTCAACGGCATCATTACAATACTCTTTTTCTAACCACATCGTTCGTTCACCACACCCTTCGCCACAATGGCAACAGTACCAGTGAACGTCCCTCCGGAGATCTACCCCGAGGTCCCCGCATTCACTCTATGGTCTGAGCTCGTGGAGCAGCAGCAGCGTGGTAAGGTTGACCGGCAATACTGTGTATCTTACAATGCTAACTGTGTATCCTCTGTAGTTCCAGCAGGGTCACGCAATAGTGGCTTCAACGTCAACGACCCTGTATGGCCAGTCAACCAAGATACCGTAACCGCGAGGGGAAGACTTCGGTCTGCATACTACGGCACGGTGCCGATCGACATGGGCCATGCGATTGCGGGTTCACCAGATGACGAGTTGTCACAGGATCATGCGAAAGTTCTTACCAATATTGCTCGAAACACGGTCCAAACAGAGCGGTACGGTCCGAAGTCATTCATTCAAAGGTTCCTCCGCGGAAAGTACAGTACCATCGAGGTGAAGACACTTGCTACGAACTGGAGCTTGGAGGCGATTGTGTGTCAGTTTGCAGTTCCA